ATCTAACTTAGGAGTTTCAGCTGCTTTTAAGACCCTGCTAAAACTATTTTGCATGATGGATTGTATGACTATTGAGGTGTTGGAACAGGTCCAGAGAAGGGCAGCAAAGCTGGTGAAGGGTTTAGAGAACACGTCTTATGAGGAGCAACTGAGAGAACTGGAATTGTTTAATCTGGGCGACCTTATCACTCTCTACAGCCACGTGAAGGGAGGTTGTAGTGAGGTAGGTTCTCTTCTCCCAAGTAACCAGTGATAGGACAAGAGGAAATGGGCTTAAGTTTCACCAGGGGAGGTTTAGATTGGATGTTAGGAATAATTTATTTCCTGAAAGAGTGGTGAGGTATTGGAATAGGCTGCCCAGGGAGGTGGTGGAGTCCCTGTTCCTGCCCCTGGAGGTGGTCAAAAAATGTGTGGACATGGTACTTCAGGACATGGTATAGTGGTCATGGTAGTGTTGGGCTGGTGGGTGGTCGGACTTGAGGTCTTTTCCAATGTTTATGATTCTGTAAGTGTCTTTAGAGTCTGTATTTTCCTATGTTGAAGCTTTTGGTGCTGTTTTAATGTATTTTTCCTTTAAAAGTGAGTTTTCTTTTGGGTTGTAGCAATTGTAAAAGACGAGAAGAATGGGCAGCCCTGCCATTTTTAAAAATCTTTTGGAAAATAAACAGTCACAGTTTGGCTGTGTGTCCATTTTAGCTCATTTTCATAGCAATCAAGTGCCCTGGCTTCAGTCCCTAATTTATGTACCTCTCCCTTCTCAAGTGACTAGCTTGGCAGTCCTTAAATGCTGGCAAGACTTTTCATTCCAAATTCCTTATTATTAATAATTGTACTATCGTGTTATCCAGAGGAACTTTCCAAAAGATCAAAGATAAGGTAGAAAGTTAAACATCTAGTTATAGTGCCCCATAAAAGGGGGATATCAGAAAAGGAAGTTTAAAGAACCAGGGATAAAAATAGTATCTGTACTTAGTGTTTCTTACAGGGTGAGATGAGTGCAGGTGCCTTGGATTAAGGAAGATAAAGGCCTGCAAAGTAAGGAGGTGTGAAGTGTGCAGGACAACAAGTTTCTCAAAGATGATGAAATGGAAAGAGTTGGAGCTGGTAGAGGGATCTATGAGAAATGTCAAATGCTCAAAATGACAGGACTGGAAAAAGACCTCATCAGGGTGTGGATTGAAGTGACTTGATTAAAGTGATAGTTAAGAGAAGGGTGTAGCAAGTGCTGCTGAGAAAGAACGCATGTATTAGTGGTAATCAGAAAAAAAATACTGGATTTGGGAGATAGAGAGGATGAAGGGGAAGTTTTGGAGACAAGTATGTGATCTGGGAAGGCATAAAGTCCAAAATAACTCTATAACAGACTGGAGTGAGTAGGAGAACATGGTGAATTGGATGTATCAGAAAAAGTAAAATCAATTTTTTTGGCCATGTCACATTTAATATGTTTACAAACCAATTCAGTGACAGAAGTTGCACCGTGAATGTGACTCATATATGTAAAGACTGTTGATGAAAACCAAGCAGGTTGGGTCAGGGCCTAGAGATGGAAACTGCGGAACTGCCACAAGGTTTTGGAAAGGAAAAAAGGGTCCCTGCATACTAAGAAGTACTAATAAAATACCAAAGGAGCATTAGGACAATACTGTGGCATCACAGGAGATTAACATTTCCAGTAAGATGAGATGGTGGTATATAAATGGTGTCATAAGAATGGTGTAGGATACTGAGCTGGTCTCAATGTTGAAGTTCAACTAGCCATTGGGGTCACTGAGGACTTTGGTGGAGTTTGTTTTAAATTTATTATCTTAATCCTGTAGCTGTTGAAGCTTCTGGTGAACTCTAACACGTTGCCTCTTCCCACTGACAAGTGCTCAAAGGCAAGTCTTGCAAGAAGGGTTACCCAGGATGAAGAGGATAAAAAAACCCTCCTGGGAAGGTTGTTTCACACCTAGACTTAATGAAACTGGGTTGGAACTCTTTCTTGTTTACTTCTTAGCATAAACGCCAATCCTTGTGGAAGACACCTTGCTGACCTTGCACCCACCCTTCTGAATCATTCCATCAACTTACGATCTCCTTGACATAAGTGGGAGTAGGATTATTCCCTAGGGAAGGATGGTCTAACTTGTTCCTCATTTATGCGGTTCTCATTTATGAAGATAAAAAGTAAAAGATTTTTCTTTAAGAGGGTCTATGTGACAAGGAGAAACCGAGAATAATATATCCCTCAACTGGAGGGATCTGTTATGTCTTCCTTCTGGTAGCAGCAATGTTTGCTGTTTAGCAGCTGTAGCCATAAAATTACAGCTGTAGTCAAAAGGCCAAGAGCAAAGCACTCTTCTCATGTTTCTGAGGGCACCAAGTCTTCAAATGTCAGTACCCAATCTGAGGACTAGAGTATCAAAATAAATGAATCATTTTTTAATTTGAAAATTAGTTTGTAATGATTCCAAAGTGTTTTAAGAGCCTCTTAACTCTTTAACATTATGTTTACAGTTTTTAACTGCTGCTGTGTTTCAAATGCACGTGTGGAATTTGTGGTTGATCTTTTGTCCACAAATCCATGTCAACAAGGAGGAAAAAAAAAAATTCCTCATCAAGCACAGCTTTACCAGCACAACTCATTGTTTGGATGAAGCACTTCCAACAGAAGAGCGCTTTTGTTGACTTTGCTGATGTTGTTCAGAGAAGTTGTGTTGCCATGTCAGGAGAAAAAACTCACAGCATGTATGGTGCCTGTATTAGCTCCACTGGTGCTGGTCTGTGATCTGAACACTGTCTGGGCTTTCGCTTAGCCCTGTCGTTACACAGGCCTTGCTGTCTGCCTCTAGATAAGTGACTTTACCCTACCTGTGCCTTACCTTTAAATTGAAGAAAATAATGCTTCCTTACCCCTGACATTTTATGTCTAATTAAATTGTTACCAGAGCTAGGTGTTCCATGTATGGGGGGCAGGTAATTATGTTACAGTTTCCTTTTCAAGACAGAGTTTGAAAACCACCTACAACAGGGATTCAGCCAGGCTTATTTCTGATGGGAGCAATGCCTACTAACAGGTTGAGACTTGAGGCTGACTCTTATAAAAGGCTGTATTTAAACTTGAGATGATGAAACTTGATGTCTGTGGCCAGCTGTAGAAGTTATGTTGGTCCTTGGCTTATAATTTCTTTTAAAGTCACAGTAGATGTAGTTGGTGAACACAGGAAGACATTGTGGGTGGGATTCAGGTCACTTAAGATGGGATTTCTACAATGCAAATAGATGTTGACATCCAAGCTCCTTACTCATCTTTCAGTCAGTGACAAGAATTCAGCCCTTTCATGACACAACTCACCTGTTCTAGATGCCTGTTTTAGGATGCTGATTTCCTTCTTCTCCCTAGTGATTACAAAGAGAGTCTAGATGTCTAGCTCAGATGTCAATGTCTACAATAGGTCAGGAGAGCTGTCCTGCATGCCTGTAACTCTAGCTATCACTGTAGGATATGAAGGAGCATCCACACAGGGCCCTGTGAAGGGAAATTTAAAAGAAAAGATGTGTCTTGGGCCAAACAGTTGAGTACACATACTGGTATCCTGCAGCTCAAAGGGGCTTGTGGAGAAAGAGACTCTGAGAGGGGAGAGCACCTCAGGGCAGGATGAAAAGACAAATTAGAAGAAGTTAAGGATCTCTTCTATCTTCTTAACCAGAAGGAGAAGGTTTCATGTCTATGGGAATAAAGAGGACAAGTTCTTGAAACAAAGCTTTATCTGATGGAAGTGTTTGGAACAGGTCTTAGTTAATTTATATCTTTCTATTAGGTGGAAAACAACCTTGTATAATAAATATTACTTTTCTTAAGTAGATCTGTTAAGGTAATGAACTGTAAATCATTTTTTTTTACAAGCCTTCGTGTGCTTGCCCTAACCTGATGGAGGCGTTGGCTTTCTTGTAAGCGCTACCATGTGGGTGGAACAGCAGTGCTAAGCTTTTAACAGGAGAAATGCTTCATTTTGCATCCTCTCTATCCTGCCAGCTCTTGAGACGTGAGGCTAGCATTGAATTTGAGAACTTGGGCAAGTTGAGGCTGGGTAGGTTGAGTGTTCAGTGAGTTTTCTGGGAGGGAGTGGCAGCTACATTGCCTGTGTGTTTGGTCCTGGCCTTTTTTGCAGGTGGCCTCAGTAGTATGCACTGGCTGCACCCCTATTCTGCCAGTTGTGATTCTGCCCAAAAATCCAGCACTACAAGAATATGAAGGGAGGTGTAATATTTAGCCAAACCCCCTGTATTTAAAAGTGCTGGTATAGTACTTGGATTTGATATACACTCTTTTGGTCATGTGCTATTAAGAGCGTGGCATTTGCTCTGCAGTCCCTGAGTCTCAGTTTCTGAGAAAAAAAGTATATTGGTCAACATAAACAGCTCTGATAAGTTTTAGCATCTGAATTATTGTAAGTAATAAGTATTGGACAAACTAGTGTGCATAAATAGTATATACAGTATGAAAAAGTGTATTTATAAGCTTAAGACTGTCAAAATGTGTCAGTGTATTTGGACATTAGGAAGAATTTCTTCACTGAGAGAGTGGTTAGATACTGGAATGGGCTTAGGCACCCAGGGAGGTGGTGGAGTCATCATCCCTGGAGGTGTTCAAGAAATGAGTGGATGTGGCACTGGAGGCTATGGTCTAGTGGTTAGGGAAATCTTGGGGAGGAAGGTTGGACTTGATGATCCTGGAGGTCCTTTCCAACCATGGTGATTCTATGTTTCTATGATTCTGTGGACTATGTAGTACAGCAATCTTAGAGATGTGAATGAGTGTTTATACTGAACCACAAGAAGGTTTGCATTCATGGACATTTCTGGCTAACAGTTGTGTTTCTGTTTGCAAGATAACTGCTATTTCTAGCCTTGGTTTTTACTACTTCTTTAATTTCATCATTTACAAAAAACAGGCAATTTTCCATTAAAATCAAACATTCACAAATCTTTCTTCCTGTTCTACTTTTCCTGTTTAGGAAGGAGTAATATCTCCTACTGATCTAGACCTTGTGATGTCTGACGGACTGGGAATGCGATACGCATTTATCGGACCTCTGGAAACCATGCATCTCAATGCAGAAGGTAGGTAGTTTAAAATGGGGCGAGTAGGAAGGGAGGGCTTACATTGCACAAGACTCCAAAAATGTTATGCAACAAACCAGGTTAGGATTGCTGCAACTGTGACTCATCTCTCTCTCTCTACTGAAATGATATTGAAAGGAAAATTTATGTAAACTCGAGGTCAGATGGAAAGCAATGGATATTGTCTGTCCTGTTGTAGGTGACCAGATGGAAGGTGACAATCAGTGAAACACTGGCTGTGTACTTCCATTTTTTCCAAGACTTGTCCCAGTGATTTGCGAATGCTGGTGTAGCCATAGTTCAGGACTGAGTGACAGTAAAAGAAAGCATTGAAAAAGTTCATTTCATAATCCAGTGTCAACAGAAACCCACTTTCCATAGATGAGTGCCTTTCTTCTTCCCTCTCCCCATACCCCTTCCTCAAATTCATAGGAGCTGTCTTGCTTTAAGCTGGCTTAAACCCTGAGTGAAGAGAAATTGCTTCTGTCCACAAAATACTGCACGTACAAAGTTGACTTGACAAAGCAGTCAAGTAACAATTCAACATCTGTCTTGCGTAATCAAGACAGATTTTTAGTTGGTTTTGGAATCATATACACATATCTCAGCTAAATAAAAAGTAAATTGCATAAAATGAAATAAAAATTATGGATCAAGATTACAAAGGTTAGAGCAGTGAACTTAACAAAACATGAAAACTTCAACAAGTGAAGATCAACTAAACTACATTTTTAGCTCTTTACATTATGGGGTTTTTTAGTTCTTTATATTATGGGCTGTGTCTATTTTTTGGGTTTTTTTTACAGTCCATGACATGGTAGGCCCCTGCTCCATTACTGGATCTTTTAGGCACTGCTGCGATGCTTAATAACACAATAATAAAATAAGAAACCAAGATCCTAAAATGTCTGCACAATTAGAAGTGTTATTTTATGTCTACTTTTTTAGCTAGTTACTTGGCAGAAACTTATGTCTCTTAAGGCTGGCTAAGCACTTTTGACGTGAACATGGAACTGTGAATCCTCCACTAGAGTCTTTCAGCTTGTCAGTTTGATTGTGTATCAGTAAATTAACTGTCACAAAGTGTTTGCTTTCATGCATTGTTAGGCAAATGACATCCATCCTATAAATAGAGGCACCTTCCTAATAGTTTCCCTCTTCTGATCCATTAATACCAGTCAGTTTCCAGTCGTCTCTAGTGATTACAGAGTTAATATAAACCATATACATTCTTTACATTGAACAGGACAGATGCACATAGTCCTAGCCTTAAGCAGAGCAACTTACCTGGACACTTGCAGCCTAGGGTTTGTCCAGACCTGCCCCTATCACTCCACTAAGCTGCCATGCCGTCCTCTGCAGGAACCATCCATGCACATGGTCTCCTGTCAGAAGTCTGTCTTCTCAACTGCCTCTTTTAATACATAAAGTCAAAACAAAATGCTTGTTAATACAAAAACAAAATTAATCTATTTTAGAGATCAAGTCATACTTGTGAATCCTTTTTTTTTTTTAATTGATGTTTTAGAATCTTAATTCTAAAACAATTTTTACTTGAGATGAATGGAACCATGTAAGTCATCTGGGTTGGTTTTGATGTTCTTCCTGGAGTGCCCTCTGGTATTTGATGTTCCATCATGATCTAGCTTAGCTACCTTCCTCCCATCAGAAAGTAGTCATTGTTACAGAAACATTTCTGAAGTTTCCAGTCTTCAACCATTTGTAGGTAACATGCAACTGGTAGGTGGCTTATTCATGGCAGAGATTATCCAGCTGCTAGATTTAACGCTATCTTCTGTTAGGAATTTTAGTATTTCAGATCAGAGGAAGAAATGTTATGAAATATAACCCAAGATCCTGATAAACCAGAAGAGTAGTATTGTGGTGGACTTGAAAAACACCAAACCAAAACATACATGTAGAGTTATTTTAACATTATATAGTATTCTCCATTAAAAATAACTCTGAAATAACATAATTAGTACACTTGTGGACTGGGCCACTTACACAAAAGCACTTTGCTTGCTTGTTCAGTAACTTGGATCATGAGAAGTATCACTTCACTACCAGTCTTGCAGGTGGCTTGTCTCTTGAGTCTAGAGCTGCTCCTGTTTATGTGCTGGCAGGCTGACTCAGGCTGTTGCTCTCATCAGAGACAGTGACAGCTTAAATCAAAATTCCTGATGTTAGGAGACATGATGGCTTGTGGTCATAGTTCTGCAGCAGTGCCACCTTCTTTGGTTGCCCAGTACTGCTTCGCATAATATGGAATAATATGGACCTCCTCTTGCTTGCCCAGGACAACCTACTAATTGTACTAATAGTGTCTATTTTTTTATTAGTGGAGGGAAAGGGAGGTAGAGATGAGAAATCCCCTCTGTCCTGTTTGTTAGCCTGTCTAGAAGCTTCACAGCAGCTGCCTTTCTTTACAGCCATAAGATATTAATTACCTACAATCCTAAACTCTCTGCTAAGCAGTGAGGAAGGATGTTGGGGATGCAGGAAGCATGTGAGAGAAAAATAGTATTATTTGTTGGAGATCCTGGAAGATGGGGAAATGTTTTTTTTCCCCTTTTAAAAAATTTTGTGTAAGAGTGATGTGATATTTCTGTTGGATTTTGAATAAAGAATACTATTACAATGATTTTTTGGTAAAATCAGCATTATTTCTTTCCCTATTGGAGGCATACATCAAGATCTTCCCATGGCCTTCCTATATGGTAATGCCAGGTTTCCCCCATTTCAGTTCTTACATCCTTTCCTCCATATTCATAAATGGTCCTATCCAAAGCTATTATCCAGGCCACTTCAGATAACCTGTTAATTCATGCATGAATATGAGGAATTTTGAATATATGGCAGTGAGCCAACAGCCTTGAACATGAAATAAAATGACAGCATCAAGTCAATAAAGGGAGCAAAAGCAACAACAGCAATTTGAGAACTGAATTGCAACAGACAGGAAGGAAGCCCCTTTGGGTGGAAGAAAAGCACATCCAAATTGCATAATATTATAACGTTGAGAGTTGGTTTCAGTAAATAAAATGAATGTGGATTTCAGTTTCAGTAAGCTCTGTCTTTTGAGTCTGTCGTGGTTTCGCATGGCAGCGTCGCAACAAACGCTGTTAAGTCTCTGACAAGGAACATTCGTAGACTTCAGTGGAGTCATTTTACCCACTTACTTATCATGGGGTTACGTTAGCAGACACAATGTCCTTCCTGTATTATGTACCTGGCTGCCTGTGAATGTACTGAAGATGATCCAGCCTCAGTCAGCGGCTGAATCTCCTGTTTCTCCTGAATCTCGTTTCTTGAGCTGTCAGCTCCTTTAAGCCCTTGCAAAAAAATCTATAAAAACAGAGGCTAAACTGTCACATACTGTGTTTTACATGTTTGCAGCAGAAGTTCTTCATATGTATTTCACAGTTGGCTGTCTTAGATCAGTTACTTTCTTAGAGGGCTATTTAGTGAGCTGTCACTGGAATTTAACCTTCTAAACTGCTAATGTTAGCGGAAGAGCTGGACAGGGGGAGATTGAAGAATCTTTGTTGCTGTTTTCTCTCCTGTAAATTTATAAAAACACCATTCTAGGACCATGTTCTACCTATCGCTCACTGTGATGTTCTCACAGGAGTTGTGTGGAAATTGGGGCTGATATATGGTCCCTATAATATATGTGCAAATATCCAGTAAGCTAGGAATGAGTCTTCACTGTCAAAATTGTGTTTTATTTTCTCAAAGTGGGAATGCTTGCTTGTCTTAGAAGAACCTGCTGGATTAATTGGTTTTGGATGATAGGAGCAGAATCATCGTTCTGTCTGCAGAGCACAAAACATGAGAAGGAAAGAGGTGGGGAAATCAAACCATAGTTCAAAGGAAGGAAATTTTTCTTGTCTGACTAGGCAAAACATAGCCAAGCATGTTTTTTGACAATGACCATGGACAGGCATGCTGGCTGCTTCAGCAGCAGAGACTCTTTTCATTCCTATGGCTGCTGCTTTAATGCTGCCATACAGGGAGCAAATCAAGCTTTAATTCTGTTCAGGAGCTTTTGTATCACAAGCTTGTAAGCAGGTGTGCAAGTCTCTAGGTTAAGGTAGTAAAATCTAAGAAAAGGAATATTGCCTCCATCCCTGTCCAACCCCTGTGTTATGTTGTAGGGTAATAAAATATCTCAACTTAATTCAGGAATACTTGTAGGAGGGTCCTACTGAGATGAAACTTCACAGTGGTACATAATCACACAAAAACCTCTTCTTTCATGAACCCAGTAGTTATATCATACACTCTTATACACATTCCATTCACTTCTCAGTAGGCTGAAGAAAGCAGTTTATACTAATTCTAGAACTGCTGTTTGCCTGTATGAAGCTGCAGAACTTTTCTGTATGAAAAAGTCTCTGTGTGTTAAGTAAAGGTGTGACCTTTTCAGCATTCTGGCTGCTGTGCACTAATTCCCTTGTGTGGACTTCCAGGTGTAGAGTGGTTCCTTCCACATTCTGAAAGGAGCACGTGACTTTGCACAGGAATTCTTAGTGCTTTATTGCTCAAGGCATTATAGATGTGTCCTGAAGAACATGTCTTGGTGCACCCTTCTCCCTTGTGCTGATGAAAGAATGTGTATGGTCACCAAGTGGCTCATCCCAGTTTGAAACTGATCTAACAAAAGAAGTGGTTCATATTAACTCATTTTAATTCCTTGACCCAGGTGACAGCAATCCTGCACAAATGCTCCTGTATTCCTGTTGAGATGGTAACACAGGGACAGTGAGAATAAAACTTTTTTTGGTGCTATGACTGTCTTAGAGAAGTTGAAAGTATTCATGCAACTAGAGTCTAAGTGAATTCATATGGGAATTAATGTAGCACAGCAAGTGTCTTCTGAATTCACACCCTAACTAAGAGCATGCATCTGTGTTCAGACACACCCTTGACAATGATAGGATTACATTTAGAAAGTTTTCCTTGGGGCTGTAATGTCCCGAAATGTAATCCCTCTA